AAGTATCTAGTTACAAATGACAGGAGTATATATGCAGATGCTAGTAAAAAATTACTAAGATCAATAAGAAAATTTGATAAGGTGACAGAATAAGAAAATATTTAAAAAAACAACAGCATTTCATCAGATTGGTAAGAACTAACTAGAAGTAGAAATGAAAAAAATATAACCCCATCACAAGAGTGACAAAAACTATAAAGCACTTAGGAATAAATTTAATGCAAAGGTAAAGAATCCCAAGAAACTCATAAAACCTTCTAAAAAGTCAGAAAACAAGACCCGAAAAATGGAGGTGATGCACCAGGCTCCTAGATGGAAAAAGAGTATCATAAAAACATGAATCTTCCCCCAGTTAATATACCTTTAATGTAATTCCAATCAATTCCTTTTTTTTCTGAACCAGACAAAATCACTTTAACATGCATAAGGAGGTGCTAATATTCTGGAACAGCCAAGAAAGATGCACCAAACAAGGCCAGTGAGGGGCATGCCTTGACCAGTGTGAAATTCTGGATATGTGGGTGTGCTCCTTCCAGGCACAGTGTAAGTACAGGCTCTGCCTGGCAGAGCACAGCCCTGATGGGCACTAGGGACAGGGCCTGGACCCTGAAGGCTCAGCAATAGCCACGGGAAGCCTTTTCCACCCCAGACATTTGAGTGTTCCGGCTGGGCCTCCTCAGGGCACTGGGGAGGAGTGACAGCAGGCCAGTGGGCGAGGGTGCTGGCCCCAGCAGAGCAGGCTCTTGGTTTTGTTTGATGTGGTCCCCCCGAACCTAGAGCAGGGCCGGTTTCCAGGTGTTCCACACAATATCTGATGAATGAATGAATAGCATCAGAAAGGTATGGACTATCTGGGAGGGGAGACTCCTCAAAAATGACCTATATGCATGTCATCTACTACAAAGCTAAACCAAATATAAGCCAGATACAAGCTCTGTAAAACGCAGCGAGAGGAGAGCCTGGATTCCTAGCAAGTGAGGGGCCAGAAATGCATCTGTGAATCCATAAATCCCTCCCTCTATCCACTACTCCATCCCTCCACCTCTCCCTCTCTCCATCTACCCCTCCCCCTGTCCAGCAATCCCGGACACCTGCACTGAGCTCTGGCTTTCTGCCCTGCAGTGCGGAAGGCGCTGGAATACACCTGTAGAGATGACAAACTTCCTGCTCCAAGTTCATACGTGATGAAAATTAACTGTAGAAGACCCACGGCTATGAATTTAAGGTGTGAAAATTGTCTGATGTTTCCTTACACTAGTCTTATATTTTAGTAAACATAAAAGTGTTCAGAGGTTCACATTTGACTTTGGGGTCCTTACCCTATTTCCCCAATAAGGTTTTATGTACTTCAAGATCTCCTAGAGGAGCACTTTTAGGGGTTGAACACCCTCAGACAGAAAGGGGTGGCTGTGCTGTTTGGGGGGAGGTTTGAAGCAAAGAGCACTGTTCCCTGACTAGTCTCAAGTAGGAAACCCTGGGTAGAGGTACTCCCCCAAATGAGTCACAAGGAGAAAGTCCATAGGGGACTATTGTTATAGCCCTCACTTCCCCAACACCAGAATAATGAAGAGCCTCTACCACGGTTTTTACAATTACTCTACTTGTAGTTACTCCTTTCTGAAGTTCTGGAGTTCTAAGACAAATGAAAGAGGAGAATTACTTAAAAGAAAATTGGCTATAGCTTAATTACAATTAACAGGAAAAGATTTAAAGTCTTTCCTCTGCGTGTGTGTTTTTTTAAAGTGTTTTGTACCTGTAATGTACTCGTGATTACATTTTTATCTTAAATAGCTCTGGAATTTGAAATATTAGTTGGTTAAGTTAATCACATTCAATCTAAAAAAACTGAATAAAGAAAAAATAACCCTACAGAATTTAAACACAGCAAAGGTACAAGAAACTAGCAAACTATCAAAAGGTTACTCTT